TGTGTGTGTGTGTGTGTGTGTGTGTGTGTGTGTGTGTGTGAATTATGTTTTCTTGTTTCTTACACATATGCCTTTTACACGAATTATTAATAATTTATATATTTATTTATGTATTTTAAATTTATTTGTGAAACGTAAATTTCAGATATTGCCATTTGACTCGAATAGAAAATGTATGTCTATTTTAGTACGGCATCCTCTTACTAATGAGGTAGTGTTATATAGCAAAGGTGCTGACACAACGATACTATCGTCTCTAATTCCTCAAGACGAAAATTCTATAACGACCATAAAAATTCGACAATACCTTCAATCGTATGCAAGGCAAGGTCTTCGAACATTGGTAATGGCTAAGAAATCTCTAACGATGCAAGAATACGAGAATTGGCGTCAAAAGCATTCTGAAGCAGAACTTGCAATGGAAAATCGTGAACTTCGTATTAAAGATTCTTATGCAAATCTGGAATGTCATTTGACTTTGTTAGGTGTTACTGGAATTGAAGATAAACTTCAAGCAGGAGTACCTGAGACTATGGACACTTTAATGGCAGCAGGAATTGTAGTTTGGGTTTTAACAGGTATCTCTATTTAATGAGACTCACTCGTGCGATCTTTGAAACGTATAACTATTAAATATATTAAATTCAAAGGAGACAAGCCAGAAACCGCGGTTAATATTGCATATTCGGCGCGTCTTTTTTCGCCTGCGATGCAATTATTGTGGTTACAAGCAAGATCCAAGTCTGTTGCCGAGGCCTTAATTCATGGATATTTGGAATCTACGCGTAAAAAGAATACGGTTCAGGGGATAGAAAATATTAGGGAAATTACGATGCTTAATCGTGATGCAACGGAAAACGAGGCGCATAGAATAGATAGCTCTTGGCCGAGACAACGAGCACTTGTCGTTGATGGCAAAACTTTAACTGTTATCCTTGATCCACGATCAGGATTAACTGGATTATTTCTTGAGTTAACAAAAACGTGTTCTAGTGTATTAGCTTGTAGAGCTACACCTCTTCAAAAGGTAACGAATGATTTATTTGTTTTGCCTCTTTGTTTTTTAGAATTCGTTATATCATATATTCATTGTATAATATGGTATCATATGGTGAATTTTTACCATATGATACAGGCATATATAGTACGTATAGTAAAGGAACAATTGGGAATGAGGACTTTAGCCATTGGTGATGGTGCTAATGATGTTAGCATGATACAGACTGCAGATGTAGGAGTTGGTATTTCTGGACACGAAGGTACACAAGCTATCATGGCTGCAGATTTTGCCATTTCACGATTCTCAATGCTTAGCAGACTTCTTTTGCTCCATGGTCATTGGTGTTATGATCGATTGTCTAGAATGATCTTATATTTCTTTTATGAGAACGCTACCTTCGTTTTCGTTCTATTTTGGTACCAGGTATATCTTATGTCTATTTTATTTTTAAAAATTATTTCAATTCTCGTGTATGATTTTGATAGATTTATCATTTTTATAGATTTATTGCGGATTTACTGGAACTGTTATGATGGATCAAATTTATTTAATGCTATATAATTTATTGTTTACGTCTATGCCACCACTTGTATTAGGCATATATGATCGAGTGGCTTCATCCGGTGTTTTGTTATCTATGCCTCATGTGTATAAAAGAGGACGTCTGGGATTAGTATATCAAGCGCATACATTTTGGATAACCATTGCTGATGCTTTATATCAAAGTATCGTAATTTTCTTTATAAATGAGAATGTTAGTACAGTTTGGAAATAGTTTAAGATAATAAAAATTAATATAAATTAATACCGATTTAATTAAATTATGATCTCTTTCTTTAGGTATACTATGATTCAGTTATTGACATTTGGGAATTTGGAACTACTATAATGACATGTTGCGTTGTTACTATGTTGACTAATATTGCCATAGAAATTAGATCTTGGGTAAATTACATTTGTATGAAATTATTGTATTTCAAAGATTTATTTTACATTAGATATACTATATATTATATGATGTGATTTTTAGACTATAATACATCTCTTTGCCGTAATGGGATCATTGGGAGTATTTTTTGGTTTTTGTTTAATTTATAATGTAGTTTGCGTTAATTGTATGGGTCTTTTATGTTCATATTGGGTAATGGAAATAGCTGTCATGAGATATACGTATTGGCTTACAGTAATACTTACCTGTGTTTTGGCATTATTACCTAGGTATGATTACTATATCTTTTATATTAATAACTAAAAAATATAATAAAAATTAAATTATAGATACCTTATTATTATCATTTATTTTTAGATTATTCTATAAAACTATAAAATCGACAATAAATCCAGATTTTATACAAAGTGCTATATTTAACGCACCATCCAAAAGTGGCAGTCATAGACAACGAATCGCGGAGAGAAGAGAAAATAGTTTTATTGCAGGTTGGTCACGTTCAACGCAACATGCTACTATAAGGTACGAATACAAATTTATTTTTTTGAATCTGAATTACATATTTTTTGATTTTCTTATATTTCAGAACGGGGACTAAGCATGATACATTGACAACTATTGTTGCATGACATATCCTGAAGGATCAAATAAGACTGTCAGCACGTTATAACAGAATAATTGAAACTGTTAATAGTGCTATTCTATTAAAATTATTGGAAAAAAACGATGTCCTTTGCCGCATTTCAATCTTTATTGTTCCTAAGAATTGTAAAAGTATTGCCAGGACATGTATTATTAATTTTAATATGCATTTTTTCATGAAAAAATGCTATAATTTATAGAAATTATGTTAGTTATTGTTTAATATTAATTTTTATTATTCATCGAGTGGCCTTAAATCTAGACTACTACTGTTTATTGCATTTGATGGCTGTGACTTTTAGGGACCAAAACTTTTAATCCAATAGTTACGATATCAATTAGTGATTCGATTGAAAAGTACACGTTTATACGTCATGTTTCAGTTGTATATCGAATCAATTTATTTACATCACAATTTCTCATATAAATGTAAAAGAATATATATTGTAAAAAAAAAAAAATATATGTAAAATATATATTATCTTTTATGAAATTCATATTATATAAATTATAAATTTGCGCTAGTAATATGTACGAGTATATAATGCATATGGATTTTATACTCGTGATTGTATAATAGTAATTTTGGAAACACTGTATGATCTGCCAGCATAGAAGTTTTACTAAATGTGTACGTATATTGGACATCGTTACAAATGTTGATATAGTATTTTGATAAATGATAAAAAAAAAGAATGCGTGTATATAATAATTTATCAGTAAAATCAAGTGTTCTGCAAACGTTTATATTTCATTGATATCAAATATCTATCTTTTTTCCTAGAATCCTTTAATGTATAATATAAGATTAATATATACTTTCATTTATAATTTCGAATTTATATTTATCTTTATAATTTTTACAATTTTATTGATATGTTTCAAATTTTAATTATTATATTTTTAAGAATAATTATCATTAAGAATATTCCATTAATTCGTCAATTATTTGTCATAAAATTTTTTCATCAATTATATTTAATTCATAGTATAATTATTTATTATATTTTTAATTATATTTTTAATTATTCTTTCATTTTAACGGATTAAACATGATTTCAAACTGATTTATCTGTTGATGTTTGCAATGAGCACCACTGGTTAATGCGGAAACATGGAATCTCAGTGGGGATAGGCTGAAAGGTTGATGATGGGTTAGGGGAGGGAAAGGGGAGAGGGCGCTTTTAGCGTGCTGCAGCAATGACTATCTCAGCATATATTCAGTATTCTTTCTGTCAAAGACAGGTGGAGTTTACGTTCATCATTTGCTAGCCGCTTTATTTGGTCGCGATTGTGCCTAGTATTTCGGGAAACTCATGACCAACTGTGTTACGAATTCGGTAGTATAGTTGTACAAAACGTGTACAGAATAGAAGGACAAAGTGAAAAATAAGATGTTCTTAAGAATTATTTGAGTTTCTTTGTCATGAAGTTACGGTTTATTCGAAAATGCGGTATTTGAGTTTTTTGATCTGAACAGGATCTGTAACCGGATTTATATCACAGTGTTTTTAAATTGTTTTTAGAGTAGTTTGTCAAGAGTTTTTGTTAAACAAACAATGAGAAAATCACGTGATAAGGAAATAGGCTATTGTATGTTATGTTAACAAAGGCCGTAATATTTATTATTTATTACATTATATTATTAATTATAAATTGCAAATCTTTGAATTAAAGAAACTTTTTATCGAGCTTTAATATTTTTTTTTAACATTTAAAAATAAAATTTTTTTCATCCATGAGTATTGGTCATATTGATGATATCCTTGGTTTTACGCTAAATGATTTTAATAATGCACTAAATATAATGCATACAATAAAGTTAAATTAGTACTAATTTTTTATATACAAATGAATGTTTTTTCTTTTGCATCATTCTAATTTCTTTCTTAGAATAATTTAAATATATATATAATTCTCATGATTTTAAGGATGGAACAGAAATCTTTTAAACTATGTATTAAAAGTAATAATTAATATCAAGCGTTAAATGAATAGAAGTGAACCGATATTTTATGAGAATAACAATTGCATATGTTAGTTGTTTTTATATATATTTTATTTATTAATTGAAATTTTCTTTCGAATATTTATATTTTAAGAGATTTTTATTATTAAATTTTTACTCTCTCGTAAAAATCAAGAAACATATGTGAATTTATAGTTACCGATTGATGATATATAACAATTTGTACATAAACATATATAATGTCCAAGAAATAATATTTATTATTATATAACAATAAATTTATATTATAGTGGAATACTTGTACAAGGCCATCTATGACGTTATCACAGTGTTAAATGCAAAAGGAATGATATATCTTCTTGTATGATCAGTATGAGCGATATAAGTGTTCGTATATGACAAAAACTGGTCGACATAGAGCGAGAAATATAACATTTCGAATTTCATGAGTTCGATATCGTGAATGTAAAGCAGGACAACGGCACGATAACGGATTGCCTATAATGATAACGATCTATACACAAGGTTACTAATCCAGTTTATTCTTATGATTACTATATTATGTTGCTAGCAAGAAACGGTTGGAAAACGCGACTTGCATAGAATCCATAAAATATATATGTAGAACGTAAATGAGTCATTACACCCAAAACGGAAGTGATTTGGCATTGTTCATTACCAGGAATTAAGAAACGTGACAACAAACGAATTAATTTGATAAGACTGTTAAGATAGATTAGAGAAAAAATCAAAATTGTAGATATGGTATAATAGTCAAAAGATCTTGATGTTTGAACAATGGAACATTCTATTGTAATATGTATATATGTGATAAATCATTTATATATCGTTGAATTTTTTAATTTTTTATAGATAAGAATGATATAGATAATAAAAGTAAAATGAATTTTTATAGTAATGCTATAAAATAGAATTCATTTTCTACAACGATAATAATCAATGAATCATCACTTGATTATTATCGTTGGTAAGTTTGACATTCTAGATTCTAAATTCACTTGTGAAGTTAAAGCGAAGACAAAAATTGTGACACTTTAGTATTGCTAGTCAATGGACTTTTTAAATATGTCATCATTCTTATAAATAGTGTATTCATACGAAGTGTAAAATATAATAAGTCGGAAACAACTGTCGAAGATTTGAAAGGAAGCATTAAAATACCAGTGAATTATTGATAACACAAAAAAGTAAGGTATAATTGCATTAAAAATTTAGAAACAATATAGTTACTTTGAAGAAACTAGTAAAAAAGTAATCTTAAACGTATTTAATGTGCATATTCTGACAAAAGTGTGTCAACAAGTAAGATAATATACGACATTTTCAACGAAAATAACAATTTTTAACAAAGAAAGAAGAGACTTAAACGTGATAAGTTAAAATTACTTAAGATTTGGATTGTGTTGATTATTGAAATATTTTGATTACTTACTTTGATCAAAAGAATGGGTTTTCGTGATTAATACCATCTTTTTCGAACATCAAGAGCAGCGTGTAACAGGTAAATTGAATCGAAAGTGAACTGTTTCATTGAGTAACGCTGTTTTCGCTATCATGCAATTGCCACGAATTACGTAACAACAGAGAACGAAAGAGGGACGAAGACGTAAGAAAAGACGTGTATGAAAAGTGTATTGAGAATGACCTTCGAAATCTTCTCGACTGTCCGTCCATCGAGAGGGAAGAGTTCGGAGATAAGGTCGAACACGGTTTAATCCTATATCTAGCTGTGATTGTTCCAAAGGTATTGGGCCGGGAAGAATCGAAGAAAAGGATGTGGTGCGGGAACAGATGATCCTAGCGAGACAACATTCTGGCAAGGGTATCGAGATTTTTAAAGCAATTATAGTTGGTTATGCCGTGTCTCTCAGCGCAGCAGGTGTATCGTGAAAGATGACAGTCACTTATACTGCTGAAGTCGCTACCTGCAAAGGTCTCGGTTGCTTTCTAAAATTACTCCTAAGGTAAGCGGTTTGGCTTGATAGTTTGATTCACTCGGTTGACATGTTGCGTGCAAAAAAGAGGATCGTGGGCGAGAAATATATTTTCTCTTTTGCTTTATCATTTATTATATTATGAGTTCTTATGTATTGATATTCGTGTTATAAAATTATCGATTCTATCGCAATATCGTATTATTTACTTTGATTGAAGATAATCGTAATGATTAACATTTGATAGATAATATTCGTATACAGAGTAAACAATAGATTTTTGAAAATCAAAGTGTAATAGATTGTAATCTATTTTTAAAATCGTGGACTTTATTTTTTACTTGACACAATTATCAGTTATTAGATAAATAATTGAAAATTTGTTGAATATTTCGAATGACTTCCGTCATAATGTTCTTAGAAGAAAATGTGTCACATGTATACTTGAAGGATATTATCAAGGAATGCAACTAAGATTGTTTTTCTAGTATACGTTTATTATATCTACATCGAATAAAGATTTTATCGCTAATGTCCCAATACTTCGTCACACAAAGGGCTTATACGTTTCACGTTTAATCATTGTTTGAAGAAGCTAAAAAAATTATTCTCGTCGTTTTTATTTATATTAATCTAAAAATAAATAAACATCATTCAAAGGTATATGAAATATTAATTGAGATTTATTTTTTTTTTTTCATTTCAGTTTTTTCACACTATTATATTTTCAAGTTTTATTAACTTTTCCATTTTTATTTCGCTCATGTTATATTCCATGTAATGGCATTTCAAGTTTGCCACGTGCAATCAATATTTTAAATTATACTCGTATTGCTTTCGATATTTTATTTTTCATAGAATTCTTTACTATCGCTTTCTAACGATTTCTGCGTTCTTTTCACTTTTGATCAATTTGTTTTACAATTTATATATTTATATATTTATCTTTTTGAAAAATTCGTTCAAATGATATGATGAATGAATTCTTTGAAGAAATTAACGCGAAAAAAAATTACACATTTAATTTTGTTTTAACTATTTATTTTTAGTATTTTAATATTCACTTTAATCATTATCGAAACGCTTATTACGATAACAACTTTTTAACGATCTAATGACCCACGTTTAATAAAATTACCTTACGTCCAGGAATAAATTTTCGATTACAAGTCATATTTGAAAATAAAAATATAATTATAAATCGATATATCTAAAGTCTGTGACGGGCATGTCGTAATTTATTTCGAGAACTCTGCGAATCGATTCTCATTTATTATCCCAGTTTAGTTACTACTCGGGTCATATTATTTCGAACATAATATGATCGCGTGTTCGCGCGTAAACATCGCGACTTTGCTTGCGATTAGACTGCGTGAGAACAATGGAGAATTGTGCGAGACTTCGCGGCGAATCGTCAAATTCAAGGATAGTACAATTATGAAATGATTTTGACGTAATCGCGAGATTTTTCTCAAAGAAATACGGTGAAAAAAAAAAACGATCTCACAATTCGTTTGGAATGTTTCTAATATTATTCTAATATATTCCGTCGAAATAGAATAGACTAGACTAGACTAAGATTCATAATAGCCATTTAGACGAACTAAATTATCGCGAACGTTTTCTTCGAATTATCGTCGTCGTTATTCTTGATATAATTGTATTACGTAAATTCATAAATATCAATTGGGTATTTTTTAAAAACGTGATTATTAAATATTATTTTTAAAGAAATAACTATTTCATTGATCGATCGATCTCGATTATTATTGTTTACGCGTCCCTCGCTTTCAGATGGCGAGCCAGCATATACAAGCTGGTCTGGTTGGACCTAGCCCTGTTCCTCTTCATATATTATTCGCTTTCGAGTATCTACCGATTGATACTGGACGAGGAACAGAAGAAAATCTTCGAGGCCATAGTAAGATACTGCAACCAGTACAGCGATCTAATTCCTTTATCTTTCGTCCTGGGCTTCTACGTTAGCATTGTTATGACCAGATGGTGGAATCAATATATGGTGATACCGTGGCCGGATTCGATCGCCGTTTTCGTATCGGCAACTATACACGGGAATGACGAGAGAGGTCGATTAATGCGACGAACTATCGTCAGGTACGTACCCATACGTACATGTCTATATATGTCCCATTTCTATAATAACAATCGATGCTAGTTTGAACTAATTTTTCAAGCATAATATTTCCTTCCCTTTCCTTTTCAGATACGTGTGCGTCTGTTTAACGCTGGTATTGGCGATGGTGTCGCCCCGAGTGAAGAAACGTTTTCCCACGTTGGAGCATTTCGTGGAGACTGGTCTGTTGCTGGAGAACGAATTGGTTATATTCCAAAGTCTGAACGCCAAGTTTCCTAAGCCTAGCAAGCATTGGTTGCCAATAGTATGGGCGTCAAGTATCGTAACACGTGCGAGGAAAGAGGGCCGTATTCGTGACGACTTTGCCGTGAAAACGTTGATAGACGAGTTGAACAAGTTTCGCGGTCTCTGCGGTAGCCTTATGCACTACGATACAATTAGTGTTCCTTTAGTTTATACTCAGGTATTCATTCGTATTAAGATGCTTGTACAAATATATATCGCGTATAGAATTTTAACCCTTTGCTCTCCAACGGTGATTCTCCGACACCACTGGAATTGTTGCGGCGACAATATTTATTTATGTTTGATTTTTTTTAAAATATCGTTTCATAAATAGATTCCTAACCTCTTTACGTATAATCTTATAAGAATGTAGAATAAGAGAGTAGAATAGAAAAGAGTGTAGAATAATATATTAATGGCTAGATTTTTAACCTCAAATTAGTTCGT